ACTTCATGGTGGTTTTTCTCCATATGTATTCAATATTCACTGATTATAATAAACTGGATTTATATTACTTTATTAAAACGATTCATTAATTTCTATCACAACCGTATAGTAGACTATAAATCAAAAACTAATGAATGAAAATGTATTTTTAAAAGCAAAATATCATTAATATGTGTGAATATCAGAGGTTTTTATGCATTTTCTCTCATATTATCACTAAATTTTAAAACTAATTTTGATTAAAACAAATATTTTATCCCCCAATCAATGATATCGATTAATATTTTGCAAAAATTTAGTTTAAAACACTTATTAATCTTTGATTTATATACAGTATTAACTTTATGTAGTTTTATTCAACACATGTTTAGTAAAAATTCATTTTATCGTTATTTTAATCTAATTTTATAACAAAAATAACACATTTCTTGTCGAAAAAGTACCCAAAAATTACCTTAAGATAAATTATACCCTTTATATTTCGTACATTAAACATATATTGAAATGAAAAATTTATTGCTTTTATTATACGACACACAATAAGCAAAGAAAATCAAAACTTAAATATATTGAGTGTTAATTATAATTATAAAAATTAACTTTTATAAAAAATGATTATAAAAGTATTGGAATGTGTTTTTAGGGACTGATAGGCGCTATGGGCTAACAGATTGCATATGTATTACTCGTGTATTTAAGACATAGATGGATATTTACACTAATTATCATTATAACACCACTCAATAAATTGTAGCTATTTTTGTTGTTTATTATATTCAGTGATCACTAATTAGGCGATTGAATAGTTTGTTAACATATTATATAAACGCCTTTAACTATAATAAAGTTATATATGGAAAAACTAGTCAACTATGTTTTTTAGAAATTTATTTATTATCACTATTATTATGATTCTATACATTAGTTTTGATGACAACAATAAAAGTAATTTAAATGGAAGTAATTTAAACGAATGACATTAAAAAAGCAAGTTTAAAGGTATCTTATAATAATTTGATCAATATTGTTTTGAGCATAAATACAAATATACTGTACTAAGTTATTATTACAATGAAAATCTAATTATGAGAAAAGTATAACCGCACCCAAAAATATAACAAAACACAACTAATTAAATATCTACCTAGATGAATCGATTCTTGAATCGTCAATAATATATACTGTATGTGCAAAAAGTTTGCAATAAAATTTAGTATTATAACAAAATAGTTATTACAATACGAAACAATAATGGTGCAAATAACTTACGCAAAATTATTTACAATAATTGTGAATACGCTATGTCTAATTGGATGTATGTATCAAACGTATAAAATAAGTTTAGTGTACTATTCGTACGAAACGGTAACTAATGTGCGATACGAGGGTCACAGCGACCGCCACTCGTGGCACTACCCGGCGATCACCCTATGTCTGGACAAACAGTTAGCCATCAGAGATGAGTTGCGACACAATTTTGTCAATCTATTGATCGACAATCAGACCGTAGATATGTATGCATTTGTGAATTTATCAATCGGCCAACAATTGCATTTATTCACACCTATAGACCAATTATACGAGTGTTACGTAACCCTATGGGATGACACCATGGACTTCGAGGCTCAACTGCTTAAGAGCGCCATAGAGTCTATCGGCTATTCTTACTATTGCGTAACTGTATTGGCTATAGTGAAACCACGCGATGATCAAAATAACCATGATCATCTGCCAAAACCATACCACCGCTCATACAAAAGTATGCGGTTTATGGTAAACACTGACCACTTTAAACAAGCGCCACAAATACAGCTATCGATACACCCGCGCGACCAACGCCTGTACAGCACATCCCATCCCGTGGGCGGCGCTTACGAGACGTACGCCCAAAATAACACAATCGACCATGTTACCTACAGACAAACCATGGTGGTCTATAAGAATGGTAACAATCATTGGCGCTGTCATAGCGAACGAACCGCCGATGAATGTCTGTACGAGTGTTATATGAAAGGAGTAATTAGTCGGGCAATGGGTATCGCCGGCTATAATCTAGTCTATCGACACTCGTATTACACACACAGTCTGTCATACAATACGAGTGAACTGTATTTTACGAGTGGAGACAACACCGACCGGCATATAGTGGACGGGTGTCGACAGGAGTGCTCCGATCGCATAGATTGCGTTCAACAGTATTACTCGATAATTCACCATAGTGAACCCGATAGTAATAAGCTTAATGAATTTTCATTGTATATATCGCTGCCTTCAGAGCCGACCACTATATACGAGATATCGCTGAAGATGTCATTTGAAGAGTACGTTATTTTTATGGCCAGTATTATTAGCCTATGGTTTGGTTTCTCTGTGTTAATGATTACACAATCGTTGATACAATTGTTTACTAAATTGTATGATAGCAAATATTTTACTAAACATGATAAGAATATCAATAATTTTAAAATAATCATAAACAAACCAATTTATAATGTTAGCTTAAAACATACACGTTTACAATATCTTGAGGGTAACTTTTGTAAATAATATTCTCGACACAGAATATTATTTCCCGTTTTATAAATTATGAATTTAAAATATTTTTGTATTTATTAAATAGTATTAAAATCTCATAAACCGTATTCTCAATTGTAGTTATAAATTATATGAATTAAATTTAAACTATTTTTTGAAACACAAAACAATAAATTAATTAAACCAGACATGAAATTAATGTTTTCAATCCTTTTATTATTAAACAATTTAAAATTAAAACACAATTATTTTCAATGGATTTAATAATAAAATTTTTAGTTTTTTGTGTGTCCATACATTTCATATGTGGAGAGAGGGGGTTTCAGTACTACTACTGTATATTACATAACACATACCTGTGCTCTCTCTCTCTCTCTCTCTCTCTCTCTCCATGCATACTGAAGACACGTGAAGAGACATTACTTTCCCTATCATAACATATATTATGAAAAATATTTTAAAATACATTATTAATTACATTAAAAGAATTTATTTATTTATTTTTCAAAATGCATTCGCGATTTGCGTGAAAATTATTGCTCAGAAATTAAGTGAAATTTTTCAAATGAAAAATGTTTTAATAATCTCTTCTCGTCTTCAACACAACAAAACAAAAATATTTTCACTTTTNTTTTTTTGGTATTTTGTTTGTGAACACAATTATCGATAACAACTCTATTAACGGGATTTTGGGGTAAAAAACACCGATCTTTCAGTGGGTTTAATGAACACAACAACAAAAAACTTATATAAAAACCACAGAAAAAATTAAAACAAAAAATATCGTTAAATAAATGTATAATAAATCCTATAAAAGTCGGACCAAAACCGTCGACGAAAACGAGCCGAGCGTTAGGCCGACGCCCAGAAAGCAAACGAGTAAAAAGCCGGCCCTTTCCCGGCACTCGTAGCCGACTAGTGTCGGTCCGTTTATCATTACGTTTATCAATACGTAACCATTCGTGAAACCCAATAGTGTTATAAATAAAATAAAATAGGTTTCGTTGGGAAACAGGACCGGCAGGTGCTGTCGGGGGCCGGCGTTGCACAGCATTATCGCCGGTATAAATACCACTCTTCCCATAGCCAGCAAAAGTACGGCCCGTTTACTGAGCGCCGGTATGGGCGCGAACTGACCGGCGAACCGACCCATCAGATCGCTTACGTTGAATAACAGAAAACATGTGATGGGAATGAAGTATTTGCCCGTCCAGTAGGAGGTGTCCGGCCGTTGCGGCCCAACCAGTACTGTAATGGCCGGGAATACCGATAGAGTTACCCAAAAGATTAGCGCTGCCGACACTAGATGTGGCCAAATCTGGAACCGATTCGGTCGACAAAACAAAATTCATTTCGATATTAAGTAAAACACATTTTCGACATTATTTACCGAATATCCGATCGATTTAATTGAGTTTTGTTCAGCGCTTAACTCGAATGACTGGAGCTCTCGTCGGCTTTGTTTCACTCGCTGTTTGTGATATCTGTAAAAATCCTATTGATTTTCGACATTAGGTTTTTGTAATCCATTTGCAATTATTTCTCATATAAAATGAGAGAACAGAAATGATATGCAAAATAGGGCTTACGGTCTGTTTGGCGTATAAATACATAATTAGACTCAATACGAGCGTAATGTCGGCCATCAGGAAGTAGTAGAAGGCAGTGTTAGTGACATACCAGTGACCCATCAGTGCCAACACTTGTGCGGCCGCCGCGAACAGCCCGGACACGGCCTGACCGGTGACCATAGCCTGCATACAATGCGCCGGAAATAGTGCCGCAATGCCCGACACACTTGACTGAAGAATACCGGCGGATGTGCTCAAGAAGACAATCGATGCGATCGTTAAACCGAAGAATGTCTGCTGATCTGAATTAATGATAAATTTATGGTTTTATTAGACACTTATTAATCGGATTTAATGGTAAAAACTCACAGAAATCTGTATTTATTTTAACAAATATTGTCGTTATTATGAATATAACGATAATTGTTATAAAAGCCCATAAGTTCTTGAAATTATCGCTAATTCTGCGGACATTGGAATAAATTAATGATTAATTATTGTATTACGGGATCCGTTGGACACATACTTGTGACCGAAGAGGGCGTTGAACGCCAGTACCGCCAGAAACGGCACATTCGTGGCGATAGAGACATAGCTCTCGAAGTACTTCTGCAGTGATGTGACCGGCGCTGAAG